TTTCATTTTTTTTTTTTGGTCAAAAGAAGAATTTCATTTCTTTGATGAAGCCAATTCCCTGGAACGCGTAAATGTTGCCTTGATCACATGCTCCTAGATTTATCATCGGGAACAGAGACTTGCCTGCATTTATTTATATGGGTAAACACAATACGGACACGGGTCATATGCTGTATATGCTCACTCTCTCTCATACACACACCCACTGACCAACCCACACCATTTTGCTTTTCTCTGATTAATGTTTTAGTAATACATTAAAACATTGATATAATTCATCCATTTTTTTTAATAAGTGGAAGCTAAAATTACTGAAACAATGATTTCAATTGTGCTCCGAAAGTTAAAAGTGGAGACAAAAGGTTCACCTAAGATGCATACAAATTAATGCAACTATGGAAAGCCTTTTAGCATACACAGCAAAAAGACACTAACTTTTCAGAAACACAGCAATAATAGTATACAAATCAAGCATTTATTTGAACATGTGCTTCACCTAGACTCCACGAGCATATCTATACATAAGAATGGTAATTTTTTATAATAGCAGCGCCCACTTGTACTGATCAAGTAAGAAACAAATAACCCTTTAGTCCTTAATATAAGACCCATTTAATTAATTTGATTAGATTAAGGAGTTAAGTAAGTTAGTTAATTATAAGAAAAGTAACACATTTTTCCTAAACCACCATAATCATCCTTCTTAATTACCCATCTTCCTCTTCTACTTGATTATAATTGAGGGAGTATCCATAGGGATAATTTAAAGAAAATTAATAAATATGAAAAATGGGTCTTATATTTAGAATTAAAACTAGCTTAAGAATTATGTCCTATATTAAGGACTGGAGGAGTAATAAAATGGATTTGAGCAATTTTATAGTCATATATAACATATCAATAAAAATCAAATAAAACGCATTTATTTTGGTATGCTATGTTAATTAGGCGTATTTTTTTATCTTAGTTTCTGTCATTTTCTAATCATCCATCATTTTAGATTATTTAATTTTTTGCAGTCATTGGCATATATGTAGTAGATGAGAGAGGAAGAGGCATTTAAGTATTCATCTCAGATCTCAGGAAGTAAAGGCCATGTTCATGCCGGTGAACTGAATCTGGGTGCTCAAGTATAGCGAGTCAGAGTTTGAGGATGCCGTTTTGTTTCAGATCAGTCTTACGTTCTGCAGCAGATGGAGGATCATCATGTCACAGCACACCTCTGTGTGTGTGTGTGTGTGTGTATGGTATGTCACTTCATTTTATGCATCTGTGATGATTTTTTTTCATTAGAACATTTGATTCAATTTCTTGTTCATTTTATGCATAAGGTACTGTTTTAACCAAACTCAGCATTTTCCCTTCGTTTCTTGTACAAAATCCATTTCAATATTGGTGTACGCGAATCTCTTTACTTGTCCACTTATTTCATTATTGCTAGGACTAGCTAGGAATGTAGAACTACATATATAAGTCGATGATCTTCACGAAATGTTAATGTACTTTTCGATCATTTTTCATTTGCGATATGGTAGGGTGGGTGGATTTAGCAAGCACCAGAGAATCAGGGCCAGTGAGTGCATAATTTAATTAACATTTCATTGCTTATTACACTCCCACTATAATTTATTTGCTCTTCTTCTCTTTACTTCCATCGGCTTGCTTATGCAATTAGGAAATGATTTTGGGGAATGAAGAAGACTGTCGATCCGGGTCAGTTTATGACCATTCTCAGCTGTTCAAAGCGGATTATGAAGCTGTGGATGCATGACCAGTGAACTTGTCTTTCATGGTTAGTCTTCTCCCCAAGGGATCAAAACACACACACACACACACACACACACATTCATATCTGCTTGTGACACCTGCATACACACAAACTTAGCTTATTTATGATTTGATTAATTTATCAAAGAATCAGTTTACCAAAACGTACTTTTGTGTGTGGGTGTGGGTGACTTTTATGCACAATGAGAACTTTTAGTGGACTATTTTGAAGGCTTTAATTAATTTGGTGTGTGTACTTTATAATTTCTTGTTAGCGAGGTTAATTTTATGATCCCAATAGCTCAACCATTACTATTCTGTTAATATTTATTTATTATCAGTTACCTTCTAGATTTTTATTTTGGTATTAAATATAAATCAATTTATAAGATACTTGAGCATTTAATTATTTTCCTTTCATATTTGCCCCTTAGCTTGTCTAAATGGCTGTTCCATTTTATAAGGAGTGAAGTGTTGGGAAATATCTGGCCAAAAAAAAAAAAACAAAGTGTTGGGAAACATGACTTGTCTGAAGACCAAATAGGATAACCTTTTGTATAATTTAATGTGCTTAGTAAGAGGGATATTAAACATTGTTGAATTTATATTTTAAAATAATTAATCATGCAATAAACTTTTGATGGCGAAAAAATAATTGCAACGACCTGTTAACTTTTCTAAATACGGTTAATGTAGCTAAGAGTGAATTATATTAAAGATGGAGGGATAGCATATTTTTTAAAACAGAAATGTTTTGACATTGTAATTCAGTGTTGAAATGAAAAGTTCAGTCCAAAAAATCTGATTTTTTTTTAAATCTTGAAATAAATTAAACTAAATCAGATCAATGCTAACTGTTATACTTATTTTGTTCCCCATGCAGAGTGCTCTCCCTCACTCTGTCTTTTATACGGAACAAATACCTACTTGGCTACTTTCATAATACTATATATGAAAAGTACCTAAATTCAGTTATAAAGTTTAAATATGTAATAGGTAGAACTTTTTTTCGATAATACCCATGCTACGGAAATTGACCAAGTTGACTCCTTTATTAATGCTATAAGTTACATTAACTAATTTATTAAAATTTTTTTAACTTTATTCGTATTAAATGAAGTTGTAAAGAGAACAAAAAATTACATTTAAACATTAATTAAAAAATAAATTAACAAAGAGTTTTTAATTACTTTTCAAATAATATATATAAATATTGGACCCAATCATTTTTTTGATAGGGATTTATATCATGAATTGGAAAGAGTATTATATCTCCTCTTTAACCTAAATATATAACTGGGAAAAGAAATAGAAAGGGAAGTGGTATTTAAAAAAAAAAAAAAAGAATTTGATTTTGACAAAATTTTTAGGGAAAATCACTAACAGGTCCCACAGAAGGCAATTTATTACTCTGAGGTCCCACGAAATGTCAAAATCACTGACAGGTCCCAAGGGACCTCAGAGTAATATTTTCGTTTTGTAAAATGACATTACCGCCCCTCATATTCCAGATTCACATTTGCTCTGTCATTACGATTTACAACCTCAGCAGCGACTATTAACAACCTAATGAGAGGGCGTTAACAACCCTAGCAGTATCCGTTAACAACTTACTTTATAGAATTATATAACCTCTACATAAGAGTAAATTATAACCAAATAATATAATACAACAACTTTAACACTAAAATGGGAAGCTTTTTGATATCATTAAGAATTTTAACTAGATCCAATAGGATTATAGTAATATTTTAATGTGAATATCCATTTACAATCTCAACAACGATTATTAACAACTGAATGAGAGGGCATTAACAACCTAAGCAATAGCCGTTAACAACTTACTTTATAGAATTATATAACCTCCGCATAAAAGTAAATTATAACCAAATAGTATAATACAACAACTTTAATACTAAAATAGGAAGCTTTTTGATATCATTAAGAATTTTAACTAAATCCAATAGGATTATAGTAATATTTTAATGCGAAGATCCATTTACAACCTCAATAGCGACTATTAACAACCGAATGAGAAGGCATTAACAACCTAAACAGTATCCGTTAACAACTTACTCTATAGAATTATATAACCTCTGCGTAAGAGTAAATTATAACCAAATAGTATAATACAACAAATTTAACATTAAAATGGGAAGCTTTTTGATATCATTAAGAATTTTAACCAAACCCAATAGGATTATAGCAACATTTTAATGCGAAAATCCATTTACAACCTCAACAGTAAGTATTAATAACCTAAGGAGAATTGTTAACAACCTTAGCAGTGTCTGTTAACAACTAATTTTATCGGATAATATAACTTCTAATTATAACTAACTAAACTATAACTAAATAGTCTTAAAGTTAATCTTATATAGTTGTTAGAGGTTATATTATCCTATAAAGTCAATTGTTAATAGATACTGCCTAGATTGTCAACAGCTCTCTTTGGGTTATTAATACTCACACCATTGAGGTTGTAAATGGATCTTCGCATTAAAATGTTGCTATAATCATATTGGGTTTAGTTAAAATTCTTAATGATATCAAAAAGCTTTCCATTTTAGTATTAAAGTTGTTGTATTATACTATTTGGTTATAATTTACTCTTATGTGGAGGTTATATAATTCTATAAAGTAAGTTGTTAATGGCTACTGCTTAGGTTGTTAATGCACTCTCATTCGGTTGTTAATAATCGTTGTTGAGATTGTAAATGGATATTCGCATTAAAATATTACTATAATCCTATTGGATCTAGTTAAAATTCTTAATGATATCAAAAAGCTTCCCATTTTAGTGTTAAAGTTGTTGTATTATATTATTTGGTTATAATTTACTCTTATGTAGAGGTTATATAATTCTATAAAGTAAGTTGTTAACGGATACTGCTAGGGTTGTTAACGCCCTCTCATTAGGTTGTTAATAGTCGCTGCTGAGGTTGTAAATCGTAATAACAGAGCAAATGTGAATCTGGAATATGAGGGGCAGTAATGTCATTTTACAAAACGAAAATATTACTCTGAGGTCCCTTGGGACCTGTCAGTAATTTCGACATTTCGTGAGACCTCAGAGTAATAAATTGCCTTCTGTGGGACCTGTTAGTGATTTTCCCAAATTTTTATTGCCCCACTGTACACCCACCGTCTTTCAAACCCATAAAAGGATGGCGGAAAAAACGAGTCGCCTGTAAGAAAACAAACACACACCTCGTTTTTCGCAACAATCTTAAATGGCTTCTACCTGTGTCCGCACCGATACTGTCGCCAAGATGGGTTTGGCCAATAATGGAGCTGTCTTTGTGAGGCGAGTATCTTTTTGGCATTTTCAAAGAGATTCTTTGCTTTGTACTCTTGCCCGCAACAAATACCCTCTCTGTGAAGAAAGCCACCATTAATATCGCTTCCCACATGTATAAGATATTAGATACCTACCTAACAAGTAGGGTTTAGAACCAATGAGCCCGTTTTGATGTGAGACAAAATGGTTTAATTTAGCAAACCGACTGACTTCTTAGTTCGAGAGCGAACTTTCTATCTGAAACTTTTGTTCCCCCCAGTTTATCATTAATTTATATCTCTAATCTTTGTCCCCAATTTCTACTTTGGCAGGCCCTCTGGAATTGCTGGTTTTGTGTGAGAGCACGATCAACGGTAATAATGTTGTACTTCCCTTCTTGCAGTCCCAAAAAAAAAAAATGTTGTGCTTCCCTTCTGATTGCTCCCTAGCTCTCCCTTAAAATTACAAAAATGAAATTCCTTTTTTGTTTGGTTTGCTTTATTAATTACTCACGCAATGCCATATGTTTTCGGGGAACATGAAGGGTGCCCTCGGACCTGTGCACCAAACCATTGCACAGTGGCTTCATGATTGGAACCGTAGGAATCAGGATCCTAATGTAGATCATGACGGTGAAGTTATCCGGTTGGTCAAAAACTATCCTTTTTGTCTTTGATGACGTGACATTTTATTCATATATAACACTGCTTTTGTTATTATGGTGTTGTTATTATTATTATGAAAACTATATAATTATATATACATAACCACATGCGACAGTCCACGAAAAATATACGGGGATCCATATGGAAGGCTTGACCAAATCTTGGTGAGCTACTGATTGAGCTTGAACTTCCCATCATTCACAATGATCTTGTCATGATGGTAATTATTAATTAAGGTTGTTTCTATCCAATCATGTTCGACTTGAACTTCAGGCTCTGTATGATGCATGCACTAGTGGTGGAGCTCCTATTCCCTTAAACAAAAGACATGATGCTGTAATGACAATGAACCATCCTGATGTTGCTCCTGAGCAACCACGGTATTGTTTGCAGTATCTAAGTAATTCAGGAGAGAAGTTTGGCTTTGCCTTTTTCCAAAGTCGTAACTCTACTTTTCTTTCATATGGAAATGTAGGTTTCAAATGCAACAAGATTTCATATTAATGCCAAAAGGTTGTTCTGGGCCTCAGGTAAATTTTCTTCCCCCACAAAAGATTTAAAGGAATTCAAACCCTACATCGAATCATTTGATACAAAAATATGCAATGCATCAAGTCTTAATCAACAAAAATAAAAACAATCGCTTAGCTTGTATATTTATGGACTCTTATTCTGGCCGACTACATGTCTGTGTGTGGAGTCTTATAGATTTACACTCACCAAGGCGATATTTTGGTAACCTAATTTAGATAGCTTGAATAATATGTCACAAATGTCTATTAAATTACATGTCTATTTTTGTTCAAGGTTATGCCAACTAGATTAAAAAATCTTCAATTAATCCACTATATTACTATAATTTAGCTCATCAGATACTCTTATGATCACTTCCTTGGCGTGCGCAAGAGAGGGGAGAAAAAGAAGAGGTAATAAAAGAAAAAGTACACAACAATGAGAGTATAGCTAGAAGAAAAGTTGACAGCCCTCTTATTTATAAAAACACAAAGGTTTTGAAACAAACAAAAGGGCATACAACAACTTTTTTTTTTGGATCAGAAATATAACAACTATTTTCACTACTAATTTTTATCAAAGGGCGTGAACAGTTATATAAACCACATCCAAAGCTACTTTTCCATCCCATTCTCTTTTCTATTCCATTCACAAACCAAAACACGCCAAAAATTTTGAAACCATTATATAGAGAGGGGGGGGAGGGGGGGAGGGGGAGGGGGAGAGGGAAAGGGTATAGTGAGTATGATGTGTAACAGTGGAGGGAAAAAGGAAAGATGGAGGAGGGAGGGAGGAGAGGGAGAGAAAGAGGATGTGAGAAAGGAAGAAGATGAGAAAAATGCATCTCTAGGTAGATAAAGTATATGGACAAGTGATTGTTGTCCTTATAATGATTCACAAGGGGTAGCCTTTTTTGAGGTGTGAAAAGTGGTATTATACCACCACTCAGCCAAGGACTTACAGCCATTTATTCCAATCTTTTGGCTTTTTCTCAACACATATAACACAAATAATTCTTTAGACATCAATCTTTGTTGTATACCTAACACCTTCAAAAGTTCTTTCCAAAAGTTACTTGTGAAGATGGGTCTCTATAACTTATGATATGTATAAGAGCTCCATAAAGTTTATGGGAAATTTGAGCCAAATTAGATGCTGTAAATGGGTGTTACAGTGGCAAAAGGTGAGCGTACTTGCTCAATCCATCCATTACCACCCAGATTTTCTCCTTCCCATTTGACTTTGCCAAGCTCTGAATAAAATCCATGGTAACATTTCTCATATCTTTCTAAAAATAGAGAGAGGTTGCAACAGTTCTGAATAAGCCACATTTTCATATTTGCACCTTAGCACATCTGCCACAATTATTAATGTATTCTTAACCATTTCAAATAATTTCTTCCACGAAAACAGCATTCTTATTCCCTGGTAAGCAGGCTGCACACCTGAATGTCCCCCTTGAGGACTAGTATGAAGTCATTATTCTAAAATTTTTTGCTTACCATAAGAGAGTTCCCTACCACGAACTTCCCATTTTTACTTCAAAACTGTCCAAGTGTATTTATCCACTCCACCTCCTTGTCGCTGCAAGTACGAGATCAAAGCCTTCCAAGTCCATATCTTCTTCCCAACTCTTCTAGATTTCCAATAAGAGTTCATCTAAACAAGTTGAGGGAGCCATTTGGAAAACTTTCAATCTTGGCATAGGCGAAAGTGCATTAGCTACGCTTATCGTTTCCCTTCTTATAATGTATCTCGTAGTCACATCGCTTTGCTACCCAATACATTTGAAATGACATTATAAACTTCTAGTCCAGCTAATATTTGAGGCTTTGTTGGCTAGTTTTAACAGTAATCTTCCTTCCTTCAAGGTACTGATGCCGATGTTCAACTGCTAATTTCCATTTCATATATATAGAGAGATTTTGGTGTCTAGGAGCCAAAGATTTTCTAAAATTGATATGGGCTGAGCTTATTGCTTTAATATACAGCTCCGATTCCTGACCCACAAGTATTTGTTTCCACTACAAAAACCTTGGAAAGATCTGGAACTGCAAGGACCCGTGATGCTATGATACTAAGGTTTCCTTCAATCTTTTGAGGCTTGAAGGTAACAGCAGCTTTGTCAGACCATTGGATACTGGAGAGTGCTCTGAATTATTCACCAAGACATAACATCCCAGTTAGAGTTCCATCCCCTTATTATAGGCTTTAAACCTCCAACAGCTAGTTTATTATAAGACAACTGCTATACGTACCCCCGAACTATCGACCTTACACTTATCTAATGTAAGTAACTCATCCTAGCCATGTCATTTACAATTAATACATTAGAGTATTTATTTAAATTACTGGTCTTCTTTTCTCTTTGAATCAATTTATCCAAGACTTGTTTTATTGTGAACTCAAAACTCGACATGCATTTAATTTTGAGACATCGCACGGATGCTTGTTCATCATTTCTCTCATTCTGCGACAGGGACCACGCTATTGGGATTTTGATAAGCATGCTATTCTGAGTGAGGCAGTGATTCATGTTATACAAGAAATTTCCGAAAGCGGTGCACGTGCTGACATCCAGGCATGTGAATTGCAACCGTCCTATCACTCTTGTTTACCACTCTTTGTCCTTATGTGTTGAATTGTTCAATTCATTTTTCAGGTTTTCATGCAGCACATAAATATCATGTTTATCATATACTACCCTTAATTCTTGATATAAGAGTTAGATGCTTAATTTGATGATATTAGTGAAATCAATTATAGTTATTTATAACAAATGTGCATTAACTTTCCTAAACAACTTCACGTTAGAACTATCTTTTAATGGGAACACCTTACAATAAATAGAGATATTTTGGAGGAAAAATTGTAAATTTGAGAAACCAAATCCAATCCCCAACTAGATCAGTTAACACTATAATTGATCTCTCCTCTATTTTCTCCTAATTCAATCCAACCTTCGGAATCATATGCAGGGTGGTTCTGCATCTGGAATCTTTCTTGCTAACAATGTTTGGACTGCACGTTACATAATGGAGGTACATTAACGATATTGCCACTATATAGCTCTTTTTCTCATCATTACTTCAACAAAGGCCATTGTTTCTCTGCACGCAACATACACATGGATCCTTATTTATCATACGTCCTTTAAGGCTATAATTAATGTTTTTACTATTTTCTTCTAATCGAATCCAATCTTCAAACCGTCATGCAGGGTGACGGCATATCTCTTGCTGACGATGTGTGGATTTTACGTTACATTGCGGAGGTCGGTAGCTTAACAATATGGCTACAAATATTACTATTTTTTCTTGTCATTTTCCCCCAAATACTTCAACAGATCAGAGGCCCTTGTTTCTACATAGCAGATGGTGGCTTCGAAGTACGAGCTGGTGGTTTTTGACCCAAATATGATTCCGGTATCAAGAAAGCTCTTTCTTTATTCTGAACTTTTTCAAGGATGTATTCATAGGAAGTGACAAAACCTGGGCTCTTTTGTGTTTTTCTTTTAAATCTTCAAAACTAGGGCTATGATATGGAGGCCGGGATACGGATGAAGTTCAGGTAAATGCTGTTACTTATTATAGGAGAGAATTAATATTGGATTTTCTTACTTCAAATATGACAAGTGTTTTGCAATATATGACAGCACCCAGTCCATGAGAAATGCAAGGGGTTATAAAGAGGCCAAGCGGGCTGTAGATAAGCTGGAGATGATGCACGCTCTTTCAGGCGAAGGCAATAATGAGTTTAAGGTAAGCAATATGAACGACGGAGGCGATAATATTATCGTTGAAAAAATAAAAAGCTGTAAAAAAAAAGAAAAAGATATACTTTCTTTTCCTTCTCCTTGAATTGATCTCATAATTGTGCATGGATTTATAACTGAAAACCTGTCAATTTGCTATCAATGGACATTCCACAGATTCTTCCATACTTTGATGCTCCAGTTGAAGCTGATGGCAGGGCGAGACCAAGTGCGTTTGTTATTGATATTAGGATGCCTCCATCTCATGAGATGGACCCCTACCTTATAACTTCCAGGATTGCCAGAACCGTCCGTCTGTGGAAACCTACCATCCCTGAGATTCTTGCTGCCAAATCTCACACCGACCCCTTCCTCCGTGCTGTAAGGTAAACAATTATAAGCCCCTTTTGATCCAAAGGCATAAAATTAATTACTGGTACTTCATATCGTACAGTTACTACAGCTGATTGATCCTATTTCTTTCTGTTGATAATATGCAAGTGACATTACAGTCAATAATACTTTCTCTTTAGGTGTGATACTGCATATATCTGACTTAATCAACTGTCATAAACGCTAACTGCGTGCATATGAGATGTTAATTTTTATGTTGGTCATACTCCCTTCTAGGAGTCAGTGAGGCGGTTTGCTTACTTCCAAATATAGTATCCCAACACATTTTGTTTCCCAAGTTCTTAATTTTGTTCCAAATTATCCACATATGTTGTACATGTTAAGGAGATTTTTACTTAGAGGTAGTTCTAAACTAACGCACACTTTTAACAAATAACTAGTGTTTATGGCCTGAATAACGTCTTTTGAAAAAGAAGATGCATGCATGGTGGTGGCGTGACTTGAGTAATTTGAACCCTGAGAAGTGAGATTCCCTGATTGGTGCTAGGTGATTTTAGTGAGATGCTTTACAAGAGATTCTGATAAAGAAGGGGAAAGAGCAAAATGTAATAGATATTTGGAGAGATTCAGAATGTGCTTGGTAGATTGTAATATGGTTGAAGTGGAAACGAAAGGATGAATAATAGGGAAGGGGAGGGATTGATTAGCTAGGGAAAACCTGAACGGAGCAGTGACTGAACAATGTATGGAGATCTGTCTTTTAATGAATCCTTAACTCCAAAGCTGTTTAGATTTGATATCAGGTGGCTTGATCAGCCACAATTTGAAGTTAATCAAGAACATGTGTTAACAGGAATGGAAATTGTGAGCTTATTGTTTTCTCTTCTAATGAAGCATTTTGTTAACCATGTCCTCTTTTAATGTGTGTCTGTCAGATCAACTTGGAGTAAGTTGAAGCGTCTTCGGACATGTTGATCTTCTGCCTCGAGATTAGCAGCTGTTTGGTGTCGTTGATGATGTGATGAACAATATTATGATTACCTTTTTGGTGGAGAAACTGTCATATGACTAGATAACCCCTCCATCTTTTCATAAGATTTTTTTGTTTGTTTAGGTTTTTTGGCCTTATTTATTAAAATGAGTATTTATTATTAAGAGTTGTGACCTAGGCACACGCACCCAGGTTACAATACGACGGAGCTGGTTCTTATATGGGTAGAACGCAGTACTAGCTGGATCACAACTCTTAAAGAGGACATCAAAGAGCACCTTGCTAGACTGCGCCGGCCAATCGTCTTTGCTCGTGAATCGGACAGAGAAATAGTTATTCGGCATGTCTACAAGTTCAAATCCCTGAAATCCCCAGATACGACTGAACCAGAGAAATAGTTGGTACACGTTGTATCGTTTTGCTAGGATTGTTAAAATCAGTGTCGCATTCCAGTCATTGTATTCATCTTGTTCTATGGGTACTACCAGATAGATCTGCATAAGTTTTTGAACTGCTTCCCCAGCTTGTGGCACTTCCCATGTTCTGTTCACTATTCCCCATCATCCATTTCAACCGCACCATTTGCAAACCCGTTATAACCCATGCCCAGGAGTGAGCCCCGGTAAGAAATTTATAGTCTTTCCATGAGTATCAGTCTTTTCAGATATTTTCACGCTTCGTTGCCTCTGGTTCAGCTGCCGTCGTCCCTCCGTTATCATGCTCCATCACCTCTGAGGTATTCGTGGGGTTGGTATCCTCCCCCACTTGAGCATGGGGCGTCAATAGAAGTTGGGGGTGCGAATTTCCCTTCTTCTTTTTCTTCTTATAATTTTCCAGCACAAGCTTATCCCAGGGCCTGTCCAGCGGCACTTTCCGATGACCCTTATCGTCCATTGAAGACCACAAACTACGCACAGTTTCTAAGGGAGATAAAACCTACGAACTCCTCTACTAAAATGGCTTGTTCTTACTTGGTGATTCTCACCTCTTTGACGCCAATTCTCATCATGCCGTGATCATATGCTCTAGGATTTGTCATGGTAGATGGAAATATTTCTAAGCAGAATGGTAATTAAAATTAGTTGAAAATAATAAATGAGTGAGAGATGTAATTTTTTCTTGTAATTTCATCCTTATTACAGAGAAAGTGAGAAAGAATGAGTAAATTTTTTTTAAAAATATAATAATTTATTAAATGATAGAGAATATGTGATGATTAATATTTCTTTTCAGATAAAGAAAAGGAAGTTTAAATTGCTTTGGTTGGGAAAAACCACAAAATAGAATGTACAAGTTATAATCATGGGACCTCTGGGCCAAAGCAAAAAGCTATCACGGGACCAAAGGTAGTACTTGCAAAGTACGGGGCCGCACTATAAAAATCCGACAAACGCTGCGGGAGAGAGATTGTTCGTGTCTGCGCGGATTTAGCTGTGAAGAAGATTTTCGTTTCTGAGATGCCTCTGCTTTCCGATCTCATCAACCTCAACCTCTCCGAATCCACCGAGAAGGTGATCGCTGAGTACATATGGTACGTTTCTGCTTCTGGCTCTTCCTTTTACGCATGAATTCACGTGGTCGCCTGTTTGCTCGTCTTTTGCCGCTCAATCATTCTCTGTTCTCTGTTTTACTTTCCGAACAGCTGTTTCACTTTCTAGAAAATGAGCAACACGTTTTGAAGAAGAACAGTGATTTAGGTTCATGATTATGAGTATCGATCCTTTGAAACTCCATTGAATTGAGCTGAACAGAATGGGGAAAGACCATTTGTTTGCCCTGTTTCTTTTTGGCGTGAGCCTACTCTGATCTCTCGTCTGATTTTCTATTCAGTTTTCTGTTCTCGATTAACAGATTTTTTGGCGTTTCGGAGATTTTTTTTCCTCTTTGTTTTCACTTAATGACATAGTGCTTTCCTTTTTTCTTTTGAACCAAAAATTTTATTTCTTTCCTTTTAGTTGCTGGCTTTTAATTCCCTGACTTCTTGCTCTGCTTCTTTCTCATTTAACTCCCCTGCTTAGCTGACACACTTTTCCACCTATCACTCTTTAATTATTTCTGATCCCTTTGTGATATTTTAGGATCGGTGGATCTGGCATGGACCTGAGGAGCAAAGCAAGGGTAATTTAGTAATTGAATTTCTCAGCCGTCGAATGAAATCACTTTTATATTGTTTTGGTTTACTTATACAATTATAAAATGTTTTGGGGATATAAAGACTCTCCCAGGACCAGTTAGTGATCCTTCAAAGCTGCCCAAGTGGAATTATGATGGTTCTAGCACCGGTCAAGCTCCTGGAGATGATAGTGAAGTGATCCTATAGTAAGCATTTTTCAATAGACTAACTCTGTTTGGAATTTTTCCCCCTAAAAATAAATACTTTAAAGTAAAATCACATGGATTGTATTTCTAATATTTATTTATGTCTACCAACAGCCCACCAGCAATTTACAGAGATCCATTCAGAGGGGGTAAAAATATCTTGGTAGGTTTTGGCTTTTTTAACAGCTTTTGCAATAATTACATTGGTTTCATTTCGATGATGTTTGACTATGAACGTAGGTCATATGTGATGCGTACACTCCTGCTGGAGAACCCATTCCCACGAACAAGAGACACTCTGCCGCAAAAATATTTAGCCATCCTGATGTTGTTGCCGAAGAACCTTGGTATTATTTGTGTTTTAATTTAATGTTTGTATCAGAATAATCTTTTGGCTCATGACTTAATGCCTTTGTGCTTACTCTATACCTTTATTTCATTTGGAAATAGGTACGGCATTGAGCAGGAATACACCTTGTTGCAGAAAGATGTAAACTGGCCTCTTGGATGGCCTATTGGTGGCTTTCCTGGACCTCAGGTGAAGATTCTCTTCCTTTCAAGTTTTGTAAACCCACTTAATTTTCTCTCTAAGGTCCAGCTTAAACATGCACACTTTTGGAAAGCTAATCAGTCTTTTTTTTTTTTTAATCCTGCTCATTTGACTTTCAAATACTAAATAGGAATTACTTAAATGTTATATACTCCTCCGGTCCTTATTATAAGACCCAATTTGACTTTTTATTTGGTCCTAATTATAAGACCCAATCCATTTTGTCTCTTATATTTATGCATTTTTTTCCAAGATAATCCTTCTAATAATGATAGTTTTAGCCAATATACTTAATTAGCAAGGATATTTTAGGAATGACAACACTTATTTATTATAAATAACCAACTTAACTTACTTCCTTAATCTCCTCAAATAAGTCAATTGGGTCTTATAATTAGGACCGGAGGAGTACAAGTAATAGAGACCGACACAAGTGGCAAGATCCTCAAAGGACGCTTATAGAGCATTTAATCCATGCTAGCGCTATGTGATTTGAAGCTACTTTCACATATCACAACGTAGTATTCTTTTGGGAAAATTACAAATAAAAACTCTTAATATGTAAAATTACAATTTGAAATCCTGAATTTGAAAAATAGCAAATAAGGACCAAGTCCCACTTTTACAAATATGAAATGTAGGTGAAATGTCTAAAATACCCCACATCCAAATTGTGATTTGGTCTACTAAAGTTATCTTCGTTAAAGTGAACTTGTCATTTGACATACTCCCAGTCAAGTTATGATTTGGTCTACTGAAATTGTCATTCCTTAAAATGAACTTGACATTTCCTATAGTCAACATGTCATTTGGCTGAGGGGTATTTCAGACATTTCACCATAATTTCATATTTACAAAAGTGAGATCGGGTCATTATTTGCTATTTTCTAAATTTAGGGTCCCAAATCATAATTTTACATATTGGGGGTTTTTATTTGCAATTTTTTCTATTTCCTTTCTCTTATTTAATCATATTATATTTGATATTAAATTAAATGCATAGAGATGATCATAGACAAAGTTGAATTTTTATCGGTTAACATTTCTATCTCATTATACCAGGGACCATACTATTGTGGTGCTGGCGCAGACAAGGCTTTTGGTCGTGACATTGTAGATTCACATTACAAAGCCTGCCTATATGCTGGTATCAGCATCAGTGGAATCAATGGAGAAGTCATGCCTGGCCAAGTATATTGCAATCTTTACATTTCTCATTGTCTTATTCTCCGTTCTTGTTCAACAAATTTTTATCATTTTCTTACCTTTTCAGTATGTTTGTGTAGTGGGAATTCCAAGTTGGTCCTGCAGTTGGTATCTCTGCTGGTGACGAATTGTGGTGTGCTCGTTACATCTTGGAGGTACCGCACGGCAACCATTTAAAAACTACAAAAAAAGAAACTGTTCTTGTATAGGGAAATGTTTTTTCTTCTATTAACATTCGATTGCGTGATAGACTAATTATTGACTAGGTCTAAAGGTTAATTGTTGGTTTGTTCTTCTGCTAGAAGTATCTCAGTTAACATCTCTATTTGTTGGTAACAGAGGATCTGTGAGATTGCTGGTGTGGTGGTCTCCTTTGACCCCAAGCCAATTCCGGTATAAAAAACTTTCCTGTTTACAAAATATTTTGATTTCTCAAAAATCCATTTGCTATTTTGACATTCCTCTATGTTGCAGGGGGTGGCTGAGAAGCACAAGATGGTGGTTTGTGACCCAAATAAGATTCCGGTATCTCTCTTTATTCTGTCCGTGATTTTTTCTTAGTGGATATATTCATTGGAATTGACATTGGAATTGACAAAACCAGGGCTATAATCTGGGAGATGGAACAGACATGATGTTCAGGTAAATGCTGTTACTTAATAATTTATCTTCGGTTTTATTACTTTTGGAATTTAACAAGTGTTGGGCAATATGGCAGCACCGCGTCCATGAGAAATCCAAGAGGTTATGAGGCCGCCAATAAATCTGCTTATAGGCTGAACGTGATGGGCGCTCTTTCAGGTCCACGTGGTAGTGAGTTCAAGGTAAGCCATAAATAAGATATAGAAAGCCCATTCAGTTGCTGTGACTTAGACTGAGAGGCCCATTTAATATTCCATTGTCTTGTCCAGCCCATTGTGATGTATCTGTAGATTCGAGAATTAGGTTAGGGCTATGTGTCTTTTTCCTTTGGATATTGCGTCCCCCCCCCCCTTCTGTGAATCACTGCTTCTGCACACTGGAAGCAGACCTAATCCTTATGTCAGTCAAACATATTATGTTTTATAGTATTATTTAAGGTCTCCATCGCTTGAGATTCGACAGGTTCGTCGATACTACGATGCTTCAGTTAAAACTGATGATGATGGCAAAGCAAAACTGCGTGGATTTGTTGTTGATGTCATCAAGATGCCTTCATCTTATGAGGTGGATCCCTACACCATCACTGCCGACGTTGCTGAAACTGCCATTCAGCGGGACCCTACCTACCGTGAGATGTTTGTTGCGAAATGTCACACCGATCCATTCCTGCGTGCTATAAGGTGAACTTTGCTTTGGTTGTGATTTGATTTTTCTTCTTCACGTGACCTTATAAGCATTTTGTTGACCCTGTCCTCTTTGAGATGTTTGTCTGTCAGGTCAACTTACAATGCGTTGAAGCAGTTTGTGACTTGCTCTTCTTCTTTTCTTGGCCGAAAGATTTCCCCATCTTCTTGATGGTCGAACGAGTTCTGTTCTGCCTCGTTCTTTGCTTTTGTCAGTTGCCGGAGTTCTTCAATGTATGAGTTTCTGCCTCGTTATTATGACTGGTGAGATGCTTATGGGCAATTCCTAAATTATCTTCATGCTCATATTTTACCTGTTATTTCTGAGTACACATATTTCTGAGTGTGTGATTGGATATAACCATCTGCTGATGAGCACCCCCTACTTTCTATATATGTTGTCTCCATTAATGTGGATCTTTTTCCCTTTTTTCTCCTTACAGGAGCGATCAAACCCAGAAACCCCATATAGCGGTGTTGGACTTGGCTAGCGGGATCTTCGTTGGCTAGCGAGGTGCTTCATTAGTGTCTGTGCTAGTTGTTGGCTAACTTTGTCGTCCAAACTGTAATTATTGCTAGCCACTTACTGTGTCGTGGAGGCATACATCGGTGATTTGGGTTTGATTAACTAGTATAATTGATGAATGGAATGTGATTCTCATGATGAGAGATTGAGAGGGAACTAAGAGTGCATGGAAAACGGACCTGGCTTCTCTCCGCTGCCCTCCTCTACCCAAAACACTGCCGTTTTGGGTGCAAAATGAGAGGGGCCTGATTGTTTTTTTTTTTTTTGGTATTTTGAAATTTTTAGTACCTGGTGTTTTACAGTAATTTCTTATACACTCAGTATTCTAAAATATTTTTTCAGTAACATTCAGTATCTTAAATATTGTTGCTACTTCACAAACACTTTTAAGGTAAAAACTATTTTATGATATTGGATGTCACTAAAAGAATATTTTATAATACTGGGTGTAACAAAAAATTATTTCAGAACATTGGATGCTTATGAAAAAAAAGATATTAGATGCTACTTAAAAAATTTCAAAATACCAACAAAAAAAAAAACAATCAGCCCCCCTCATTTTGCACCCAAAACGGCAGTGTTTTGGGTAGAGGAGGGCAGCGGAGGGACCTGGCAGCGGAGAGAAGCCAGGTCCATGGAAAACGTGAATTAATTCAATCATCACTGGCATGGAAAAAGGGTAGTGTTGGAAAATACTTAAAATTTTAGATAAATGTAATGAATTTAACGTACTTCTTTCTTAATCTTAATACACGTAGAATGTTTGACATATACCCTTTTTAACTGGAGAGGGTAATACGATTTGCAATCAATGTGCGATCTAAAAGAAGAGTGCCACTTGTCACCAAAAAAAAACAGAAGAGGGCCACAGCCCTATATTCCTAGTCACTCTTGAAACACCAGGGGTTAAGGTTAAATGTTAAATGATTCATCCATATTTTCTCCTAAAGATCCAACACCTAAAGTATTTTATTATTTATCTAGTATGTGAAGTATTTTTTTTCCCCTTAAGATACATTCGATATCCCAAAAATATTAAGGGAAAAAAACACTTTAGGATGCTTGACATTTATTTAGGATCCGTTTGGATCAATGATTGGAAAAGTAGTTTATTGTCAATTTGGTTTATAGAAAAGTGAAGTTGGGTAAAAGCTAAATTAGATATACTGAATTGTATTTGGATTAGAGTTCAGAAAAGTTAGTTTGCAAAAGTGAGATTGATAAAGGGTTGTTTGGATTATGATTGACTAAAAATAAGTTTAATTATAAAATGACTAAAATGGGTATAAGTTTTAATAAATAATGAAACATGATTAAAAAAATGATTTCACATAATAAAATGAAATTAAAATAATTTAATATGAAGAAGTCAAATTTAATGAGTGAATTAAATTTTAAAACTTTAGAGAAATCATAAAAAATATTTTAAATATAAAGTGAAATATGAAAAAATAAAAGTATACATATTTCTGTGAGCATATTTAAAAAAAAAAGTATATTTCTAATTTATTTATTACTTTCAACTAATTTTAAGAGAAAATTGTAAATAAAGACCCCTCAATATATAAAATGGCAATCAGGGACCCTGAATTTGAGAAATTGCTCACAAGGACCCGGTCCCAATTTGCAATTATGAAATCATGGCCAAATTACCAAAATACCCCTCTTTAATTTTTTTTTTTTCAAAAAAGAACACCACTGCCTCGCCGGAGCTCCACCACCTCGGCTGCCAGCTGCCGGAGCTCTGATGCAGGCGGCCGGATTCCAGCCATTGCCGGCGGCCTTCCTTTATTTTTTTTTTGAAACTATTTTTTTTAAATTGGGGGGAAGTGAGGTTGGGGGGATTTGATCCCCCAACCTAATGCTTTCCAAAATTAGGAATGACCATTGAGCCAACAAATTTTTGCTAACATTATAATACAAAAAAAAAAATATAAGTTAACTCATTTACTCTTGTTTCAGGTGATAACAATAATACATTTGAAAATAACAAGTTCTGATTATAAAATAACAAGTCTGGGATTAAAATTTAACAACACGTTTTTTTTATAACAACACACTCTGTTGCAAGTGATAACAACAATACATTTAAAAATAACAAGTTCTGGTTATAAAATAACAAGTCTAGGATTAAAATTTAACAACACGTTTTTTTTTATAACAACACACTCTGTTTCAGGTGATAACAACAATACATTTGGAAATAACAGGTTCTGATTATAAAATAACAAGTCTGGAATTAAAATTTAACAACACGTTTTTTTATAACAACACACTCTGTTGCAGGTGATAACAACAATACATTTGAAAATAACAAGTTCTGATTATAAAATAACAAGTCTGGATTAAAATTTAACAACACGTTTTTTTTATAACAACACACTCTGTTTCAGGTGATAACAACAATACATTTAGAAATAACAGGTTCTGATTATAAAATAACAAGTCTGGAATTAAAATTTAACAGCACTTTTTTTTTATATAACAACACATTTTATTCCAAGTGATAACAACAATACATTTGAAAATAACAAGTTCTGATTATAAAATAAGAAATCTGAAATTAAAATTTAACAACACATTTTTTTATAACAATTAATTATTTTATATTTTGAAAAATAAATTATTTATAACTTATAAAAAGTATTTTAAATCTATTTAATTTGCTAAAAAAATAATTTTTATCTCCAATTTATAATCAGAACTTAAAGTGTAATTTATTATAGATTAAAAATACATTTTTATTGTTCAAATTTATAAATAAAATTTAGGGAAAATGACAACACACTTTTTTAATTTTTTTTAAAAAAATTTTAATCTATATATCTATACAACTCATTATAAATCAAACTACTTCTTATAAATTATAAATAGTACAATTTATTGTAGATTAAAAATACTTTTTGATTGCTTAAATTTATAAATGAAATTTATCTCTAATTTATAATTAAAAATACTATTTTATTCTTTAAATATAAAAACTATTTTTAATATTTAAAGAATGAAATAATAAATTATACTATAATATTTAAATACTTAATAATAAATTTTAATATTTAAAGAATGAAATAATATAAAAATTTATACTATGATTTATAGATTAAAAATACTTAATTATAAATGCTTTATAATTTATAAGAAGTAGTTTGATTTATAATGAGTTGTATAGATATATAGATTAAAAAGTATTTTTTAGAAAAAATAAATATATTAAAAATATTTTTATAAGTTATAAATAATTTATTTTCCAAAATCATAATATAAATAATTTTCTAAAAAAACGTGTTGTTAAATTTTAATTCCAGACTTGTTATTTTATAATCAGAACTTGTTATTTCCAAATGTATTGTTGTTATCACCTGAAACAGAGTGTGTTGTTATAAAAAAAACGTGTTGTTAAATTTTAATCCTAGACTTGTTATTTTATAATCAGAACTTGTTATTTTCAAATGTATTGTTGTTATCACCTGCAACAGAGTGTGTTGTTAAATTTTAATTCCAGACTTGTTATTTTATAATCAGAACTTGTTATTTTCAAATGTATTATTGTTATCACCTGGAACAAGAGTAAATGAGTTAACTTATTTTTTTTTTTTGTATTATAATGTTAGCAAAAATTTGTTGGCTCAATGGTCATTCCTAATTTTGGAAAGCATTAGGTTGGGGGATCAAATCCCCCCAACCTCACTTCCCCCCAATTTCAAAAAAAAAACAAAGGAAGGTCGCCGACAATGGCCGGATTCCGGCCGCCGGCATCAGAGCTCCGGCGACGGCGGCCGGATTCCGACGAGGCAGTGGTGTTCTTTTTTGAAAAAAAAAAAATAAAGAGGGGTATTTTGGTAATTTGGTCATGATTTCATAATTGCAAATTGAGACCGGGTCCTTATGAGCAATTTCTCAAATTCAGGGTCTCTGATTGCCATTTTATTGGGGGGTCTTTATTTGCAATTTTTCCTAATTTTAACTAATTTTTTGTTATCTACAAATTAGTTATTTGATGCTTATAATAAGAACTAAAAGATGTAATAAATTTCTTAACTTTTTCTCTCTCCATATTTCAAAAACTATAAGTCATAAGGTGTTAATTTTAGCTTATAGTTTATTGTAGTTTTTCATACAAAAACCGAATTGCCCAATTACCCATCCAAACAGCATCCAAATTTTTAATTAGGCTTTTATCCAATTTAAGCTGCTTTTCATCTATGAAAAGCGTAACCAAACAGACACTTAACGTACTCTTTGAGAAGTTAACAGTAAAGTTAAAATTATTTTTTAAAAAATATTTTAAAAGCACACTTGCCTTTTTTAAAAAGAAAATTAATACTTTAGAGTAAAATTGTGTCATGAAATATTTTATGGTGTTAGATAAATCATGAAATATTTTAAGATAAGAAACGCATGTGAAAAATAAATATTTTCCCCGCGCTGTACAAAAATTAAATTATGCTGGCTTACTAAAGAGCTCCAAAAAGCCAAGACACCCATGCCCAAGCTAATTGGACAAGAAGGCCTCTGATGGCAAATACCGAAATACCTAATTGCCCACTGATATGCAGAATTGGGCTGGATGCTTCGTCTAGTATCTTGGGTCCTCTTAGGTCCTTAATTGAGTATTTTATCTAGTCTTCAATATGGAACTTGATTAATTTGAAAAAAATTAAGAAAGCTAAAAAATTATGTAATTATAACATATGTTATATGATATTTATCAAATATTTATTTATATCATTTAATTACATGGAAATTTATAAGTTAGGTAAATCAGATTAAAAAAATAATAAATAAAAATATTTTGAAATAATTTTGGTTTTCTTCATTTTTCTAAGGATTAGAGGCAGTATTCGGTGATCTATCCTGTGTTTTTTCCCTTGCCGTCTTACCTTTTTTTTTTTTTTGGGGACTTTTTCCCGCTCATTTAGCCCTAGACTTAGTTCACAGCTATCCATATCCATAGATGGTCTCGCAAAACACCGCCCCAGCCTGCTCTATTTGTGTCAGAAGACGCAGCTCCATCCGCATTCAGTTTAACCAATTAGTAGGTGGTGGATTCCCAAAAACTGCCTTAGGAGTATTAATATTACTGAGACAGCTTTCATCAGGAAACCTGAACAAAAACCTCTTCCAAGTATGCTGAATAGTTAACGCTTGTTCTTCAGGTTTTATGAAATCAGCATTGAACATCGTTTCATTCCTCCACTTCCATAATCTCCATACTGTAACTCCCCATTAAGAGATTCCAGCTACCATTCTTAATTACTCCTGACTCTTTTTTAAGATTAAGAGCAAACCGAGTATGATGCAGTTTCAATTTTATTTCACTATGCAAGAAAAGAATACCAAACATTCTGTTGATTTTATCAGTCCCCCCCCCCAAAGGATGCTCCAATTTTGTGGGCTGATGCTGATAGCCCAATGGATTTGGGCTGAATCAGAATCAACAGGCCCAATAGTCGGTGGCAGATGATTGTCGTGTCATGCTGGCCCACTTGCCCTCTGACAATTTCAACTTTCATTAATTTGACATTCAAAATCATGAACTAAAACCAGTTTTTCACGTTTAAATTAACTGGGGTAAACATTTAAATCTAAGGAGTACTCGTACACAGTAATAGTGCAGAACATTCTGACAAGTGTATAAATATGGGAGGTTGAACATAACAAAGAGAGTGGCCCCTAATTTGTCATCCATACTAAATGCTCCTGGCGCCACATATCTGATGCGATTCACCCCCATGTATATCTATTTGTCTGAGTAATTTTTAACTTCATAAATTTAAAATAATAATAATAATAATATAGATATCTTTTGATAATCCTCTTCTTCTTTTCCTTTTTGGCGGAAAGGGAGGGCTTGGGGCAGCCAAATAAAGCAATAATTATTCTTTTTTTAAATTTTTGGGGCTTTTGAGAATGGCAATCCCAGAGGAGGGGCAAGCTCAGTGACAGCTACAAATACATAAAGTCTAAAAGAGTGGGCATAAGAATACAAAGGACCCATAATGAGGGAATGAGAAATATCAGGAGAGAGAGAGGCTGGCAAGTGGCAACAATACAAGAGAGTGAAGTTAATAAATAAACCAGAGAAAAAGTCAATTAAGGTTGGGGGGACCCTTCCCCCTCTGTAAATCCCACCTACTCTCTTCCCCCATGGGGCACCCCCACCCTATTAACCTCACAATGTTTCTATTATTCATTCAAAACTGTCATCAATATCACTCCATTGATTTCAAGTATAAGACTGATTGAGACATTTGTTTTAGTGTTAAATGCATCACTTCAATTCATCCACTCCTCCAAATTTACAGCATTTTCTATGGTTTTTCTCTTAAGTAAACACTCTAATTTTACGGTCAGTACTGGTAGTCCCAACACAAAAGCTAAGAGTACTGACAGAGCAAAGATTGCAGTATTTAATTGAAAGAGAAAAATATATACATACCAAATTAAAAATTGAAAAAAATTATAGACACTACGAAATAGTTTTTCCAAGAAAATGTTTTAAGAAAAATAATACAATTATTTTATAAATATTAAAATTTTCTAATTTTATTAATCAATACAAATTAGCATAGGGTCTTATAAGAGAAGTATATGTTATTTTATTATTTTGAATATGTTAATGTAATGTAAACTAGGCATAAATTCTATACCAACAAAACTATTCATAGCTACTACCTCTAGCCCTTAACATAAAACTTTATTTAATTTTTATTTTAATTCTAAATATAATATCTCAGTTCATTTTGTCTCTCATGTTTATTATTTTTTTAAAAAATAGTCCTTATAATAATAGTAGTTTTACCCAATACACTTGATTAGTAAAGATATTTTTAAAAAGATAATATATATGTATTACATATAATCAAGTTAACTATTTTTTTAATTTACTCAAATTAGTTAACTAGGTCTTATATTAAGAATCGGAAATGATATCATGACAAGGAGTTTGCTCATGCAGCCTCCATGATGGTCACCCCAAAAATCTTACTTGTAGTTAGTAAGAATGGATAATTTTGAGCAAAAACAATGATTAGGGTGAGAGGGAGAAGGTAGAAGAATTTTGTGCTGATTCAAACGCAGCCTTTTCATAGATTTGCGTGCGAAGAAGAATACAGGAAATTTTTTCAAAGAAGACGGCCGGTGATGAAGTGCAGAAAATTGTATAATAATAGAAGACACAAGTCTATTTTATAGGAATTGACTGGGAAATGAGAGGATTAGGGTTTGGGGGAGTGAAAGTGAAAGAGGTGAGCTGTGAATGGGATGGAAGATTGGAAGGACACGGCTGGCTTGATTAGGTTTCTCGAGAAAGGGTTGATAGCGATGCCCAGCCACAAAATCTCACATCCTCCCAAACCTCCTTTTATCCAACATTTATAATCCATTTCCATGCCAACTCAGTTAAATTTGACGAAAAGGGCTAAATCCCACAACGGGACAATTTAGAATTCAAATTTTTATTGTAAGACTTGTTTACATTTAATGTTGGACAACTCTTCAAATGCCTTCAACTAGGAAAAATCAAGAAGATATATGTTTTAAGTCCTTAGGGACTAATTCAAAATTAATTAAGCTTTTGTGAAATGGTCTCATTGTCTCAGTGAAATTAGTTGTTTTTGTGTTGCCTTTTTTATAAAGATAAGATTGCCTATCATCTCAACAACAGTTTGTTAGTGATAATTTAAAGTTGTTGATTATTGAACTATTGTCGTGGTCTCGGTTTTTATATAAAATTTAATAGAACTCTATCGTTATTAATGTATAAATACTATAATTTCTTATTTATAAGATTTTAAACAAACACGTAAAATAAGATATCATATAACAAGTTTTACCATTCATAAATAAAAAACGTTGCAAGTCAGTTTTTACTACCTAGTTATAAATATTTAACAATTCAATAATAAAATTTACTAGAGAATAATTTTTTTAAGAATATGAAAATTTTATATATAACCATATGGGAAATTTTCTTTCTTAAATTTTTTTTTTGGTCAAGAAATTTTCTTTCTTAAGTTAAAGCTTCCTTTTTCATTTACCCGGGAAAAAAAAGGTGAAAGTGAAATGTGGCGCACGCTTTGTGCAGTGTCGCCAGCTGGCTCCTATTGTCACGGCATTTTGAGACCGCCCCAACGTCCCTGCCATCCCCACATCGAACCTCCCCCTTCCGACTTTCCAATTTATATCATCGCATCTCCCAAATTCATTATAGTAACATGAGTATTACTTAATTCCAATAAATATGGTGTTATCGCTCTAAAATATTCCTATAGAATATGATATTGTAGCATATCACTTTATAAGTTTTATAAATTAATTATAGATAAAATGAATTAAAATTGCACATTTAAAATCCAAATCAACTGTCTAATTATTATATCTAGTTTTTAATATAAGAGTTTGTTTGATATTCAATTTGATCTTAAATATGATATCTTAACCTACTTTGTCTTTTATATTGATCCATTTTTTTTTAATATGATCCTTATAGTAGTTGCATACTTGCATATGTTAAATATTTTGTCAAATGATAATCTTAGCTAATACACATATTAGCAAAAGTATTTTAAAAAAATAATACCTATTTATTACAAATAACTAACTTAAATAATTTTTGTTGTTCTGTTGAAATTAACAGTGAACAAAAAAACCGGTTCGGATCAGCAGATTCAACCAGCAAACCGGTGAACTAGTCAGTGGACATGTTCAATTTGGATATTAAACCAGGAAGGAGTTAAACTGATAGAGAACCCGTCAAACCAGTGTGAACCGGTGAAAACCGATGTGAACTGGTAATAAACCGGTTTGAATGATTAAGTTGTTATTAGTTCTATTTTTTCTCATGCATCTCCTAATATATCAACCCCTATAGATTTAAACAAATTTTAATGATAATTTTGATATCAATAATTATTAAGTTTAATTAATAATGAACCATAAAGATCAAAATTCTCAATATTGTTATACTTTGTTATTGTTACAATCAAATTAATGTCATATTTTCTTATGTTTTGTTATTAACTATTGTTAATGTTATTATATTTTGTTATTTTTAATTAAATTATATCATTTTAATATGACCGGTTGGACCTCAAGTTGACCCCGGTCCGACCAACTAACCCTTAAACCACTACCTCAACCAGTTTAATATCTGATCCGGTTTTTTGTTCCTTAGAAATTAATCAACTAATTGTATAACGAGAAGAGAAGTAATATATCATTTCCTGGCAGGTCAATTGAAATATATGGCACCTGAGGCTAGGATCATTCACAATCTACGTCCATATTTATATATAATAGAACACCAATCAGAAAAAGAGTCATTGATTATGTATTCCACATTAATAATAATAATTACATTATTCTAATTATATCTTTCATTAAATTGGAATTAGCGATTAATAAAAATTAAATAACACAAGATAAAGTACAAAGTACAAACATTAATTCAGAAACATTTATTAAAAAAATATTTTATGATACAAAATTTGGTGAGGTAGTACTCTTTATTCACTCGCTCCTTTCTTTTTCATAAAATAAGTTGTGGACTGTTGATTTAATTCTATTTACAAGAGATTTCAATCACATTTTCAAAATATTTGTTAGTACTTTTCATGTTTTCTATCAAAAATATGACAGCACTTTTCAGTCTTCATGATGAACTCAGCTTTCTCATGTACGATTAACTTGTATTTCAGTAAATAATTTGAATCTGTAATATCTATTATATTCAGTCAATTTTCAACTATATTTATTGTCATAATATTTTTATATTATTATCCGGTATCTACATTTTTTCTAAATATTATTACTAAGTATTCAAATAACCAGCTGATCCGATTTAAGATTTGTGTTTATGATGACTTGATTATTCATGTTTTTTGGGCATATTAAATGTGGCTGACTATTTGGTACTGAGAAGCACGGGGCAATTGAATTCAAATTATGCAGGCAAGGCAGAGGTACCCTATACATGATCTCCAAGTGGGTTTCTCTCCACCTCTTCTCCCCCACTGTGTCCCACCTTACTTTTGTGGCTTCCACTTCCCATTTCAATTCCTCCCCCTCTTCCCCACTCTCCAGATATTTTTATTTCAAAGCTTGCTCTTATATCTAATTAATAAATTATGTCATTTTTAAAACCATAATACTAATAATTAATAAAAGTTAATACTCATCTGGTCCTATTTATAAAGTACTTCCAACATGTTTCACACAGACTAAGAAAAACTTTAAATTGTATTAACTCTTTATTAAAATATAGTAACTTTTTAACTTTACTTATATTTAATATATGCACCTTTCAAAAAAATAACTATCTACACTATAATAAATAAAAGACAATATAATATATTAATAGTAAAAATTTAATGAAGTGACTTATAAATATGAGGAGGGGAAAACCCTTCTTTCTTTATCCTATAAATAGGATCAGAGGAGAACTAGGGGTTGGTAAGAATTAGCTGATAATTAATGGACAATTTATGCGTATTTAGTTTTATTGTGTACTAATATCTTCATTTAAAAATTTTATAATTGAACTCAGCATATGAAACGTAGTTGACTATTTGGCGCTCCAGTCTCACCCCCTGCGACCACACGCACGGTCTCCAACTGCCGGGTTTCCTGTGAGCCCCACCGTTCAAATTCTTCAACTATTTAATCATTTAATTAAGTAATATTTTAACACTTTTTGATGTGTGAAATAAAAAAAAAAGTAAACTAATAAACTTAAAAAGATAAATAGCTTATGTTTTATTTTTAATCAGCACATTAGGTGAGCGACTTCTTTTTTGGCTACCTAGGTGAGCAGCTTATACGTTAAGCAAAGTTTGTACAATGAGACCAACACATCTAATAATTCGTTTTTTTTTTTTGACCGGCATCTAATAATTCGTTAATAATATAGTTTAATAGAAATTTAATATTTAAAATGAACTTTGATCTACAAATTAATCATAATTTTAGACATCGACACACATAAAAAGTTGTAGATTATAAATTAGTTTAGTGTCTTTTATTAAATTGTTTATGGAGTATTGCGGAGTGGCCAAAGAAAAAGGAAGGCATTAATTAGGGGACACGAAAGGTCGGAAAGAAGAAAGAACAGAGACAACCTTCGGTACCATTTCACGAGCCCTGTCAGCATTCTATTCATGGCTCATAATTATAGCATAAGTCAAATCCTACCTTTCTTCTGTTATAAAATTTTATTTATAGTATGTAAATAAAATCTTATAATCAAAATAAAAAATAATATAATTTTTATTATAAATAAGAGTTGATTTAGTTAGTAAGGAGTTAATTTATAACTCCTTATTTAACAAGAGTTAAATTTTTAACATAAATATATTATTTTAATCTTCGTTTATTATAATATGGATGGTTATTTTTTACAAAAAAAGTGTATATATTAAAGATGAATAAAATTGAAAATTTTATTATATTTTAATGAAAAATTAATATAATTTAAATTTTTTAATATGTGTAAAATATATAAAAAAAATGTCTTATAAATAAAGTGGGAGTGCTCCATGTGAAAAAAAAAAAAAAGTAAATGACTGACAATGAATAAAAGAGCTGGCGAAGCAAAAGTAAAATGTTCTCGAATTTTAGCTCGAAAAAGTTTGCTTGCATGCAAAGAACCTAGATAAAGATACACAAATAATACTGGTAGTAAATAAAAACTCAAAACATAGATAAAATAATCGGGGGATAATCACAACAACAATAATAATACTACCTCCTGTCCTTAATATAAAACCCCATTTGACTTTTAGTTTGGTTCTAATTATAATACCCCAATTCATTTTGCCTCTTATATTTATGCATTTTTTCCCAAGATAGTCCTTCTAATAATGATAGTTCTAACCAACACACTTAATTAGCAAGGATATTTTAGGAATGACAACACTTATTTGTTACAAATAACTAAGTTAACTTACTTCCTTAATCTCCTCAAATTAGTCAACTGGGTCTTATAATTAGAACCGGAGGTAGTATTAATATGGAGAAAGTGTGGATCAATTTCCGTTGATTTTAGCTGAAATGATCATCACTATTTGAATACCTAATGTCGATTTGAACCATGATAAATATAAAGATAAATACAGAAAATATTTTTGGGAGTTTTTTTTTTTTTTGGCTTCTCGAGAGGGTTGCTTCTATTTAAAATTTGCTTTAACTTGAGTTCAGATTAAATTGTCGAAATTTTAATATACCAACCGAATATTAATATTCTAATTTAGGTTCATTTAACCTATAAAGTTTTTAACGAGCGCTTTTGTCTGATTTTCCCGGGTAATTTTCTGATACGTGATGGTTTTATTAAAAGAAATAAAATATGTTTTAGCAGGAAAAAAGAAATAAAAGAGAAGTAGGGAAGCAAAGGGTGCCACGTGGAAGGGGAAAAGGGCAAAAGGTTTCTAATTCTTGAATCGGGTTCCGGGGTAATTGAACCGTGAGAGAGACGAAACGACGCACAAGGTGTGAGGAACGTGAGATAAGTGTCAGAAACGGGAATTATGCGGAACCCTTTCGTGTTTTGGGCGGCCCTCACCTCCTTCCATCCCATCTTTCCTCTCGCTTAACCACTATTTCTTTTTTTTTTTTTTACTATAAATTTTATATTTAGAATTAGAATATTTTTTTAAATTAGAAAAACAAATGCTAATGATCTGAAATTATAAGAGAGATGCAAGCCTTAATCTCTTGCTCAAAGAAATATTCATATCACTGGGTTATAAGGTCATTGACTTCCTTTCTTTTTTAATTAAGACTCCTTTTTTTTTTTTAAGGATCCATTCTCTACACATAAAAAAAGTACTTTTTATTTTTTTATTTATTCATTTCAGTTTTTCAAAATTTAAATTTGTAACTTGATCCTCACCTTAGCTCATCTTCACCCTCACATCAAGCAAGCCAAGGTGTATTATTTATAATTTTGAATTATGCAAGCCTTGGCTATGTGGTTTTATTGTGGAAAAAAAAGAATAAATATAAACATGATACTCTAGCTTTTAATGTAAGACCTAATTAACTAATTTAAATATATTAAGAATATTAGTTAAATTAGTTAATATGATACTCCTCCGGTCCTAAATGTAAGACCCTTATACTCACTAGTATAAGGGTCGTATATTTAGGACTGGATGAGTTTTTTTTTTTAAAGCATCATAATCATTTTTCTTGATTCTTTCCTTTCTTCTCCCACATGATTATTGTGGAAGGCTTTGGAAAAGAAAGGTGTACGGGTTGCGTATATCAAAGTCATACAAGATATGTATGAGGCAGTAACTACCAGTGTAAGGACGCCTGGGAGGGAGACAAAGGACTTCCCTATTAAGATTGGCCTACATCAGGGATCCTCTCTGAGTCCGTACTTGTTCAACATTGTTCTGGATGTTCTAACTAAACCTGTTCAAGAAAGAATCCCTAAGTCCATGCTCTTCGCGGATGATATAGTTCTTATGGCGGAATCAAAAGAAGAGATTAACACTAGTTTGGAGTTATGGAGAAGGACTTTGGAGTCGAAAGGTTTCCGTTTGAGCAGGAACAAAACAGAATATATGCATTGTGATTTTAGAGGGAGGCAAGGTAATAGGGATTTGGAGGTGAGGATGGGAGAGCAAATTATTCCTCAAGTATCAAAGTTTAAATACCTAGGATCCATTATACAGGAGGATGGGGAAATTGATGGAGACATTTCTCATCGAATACAAGCTGGCTGGTTAAAGTGGAGGAAAGCTACCGGAGTTATTTGCGATAAGAAGGTACCTGAGAAACTTAAAGGAAAATTTTATCGGACTGCTATAAGACCAGCTATGATTTATGGTAGTGAATGTTGGGCATTAAAGGGAAAACAAGAGCACAAAGTCGGAGTAGCAGAAATGAGGATGTTGAGATGGATGTGTGGTCATACAAGAAAAGATAGGATTCAAAATGAAAAGATCAGGACAAGAGTCGGTGTGGCACCTATCCAAGAGAAAATGGTTGAAAATCGCTTAAGATGGTTTGGACATGTGCAGAGAAGGCCTTTGGAAGCCCCGGTGAGGAGGGTGGATCAAACAAGATGGAGTCCCATAAAAAGAGGCAGGGGAAGACCGAGAAGAACGCTGAATGAGGTCATTGAACGAGACCTCCTAATCAACAACATATTTAAGGATTGGGTTGTTGACAGAGCACGATGGCGTCGTGTGATTCATGTAACCGACCCCACCTAGTGGGATAAGGCTTGTTGTTTGTTTGTTTGTTTATGATATGGTTGTATATATGAGATCAACATCAATTCTAAAATTAAGTTCCACGTCAAGGACCAGAGAGGTAGCTGGTATGAAATGTTTAAAGCTTAGATTCTTCCACTTTTGCTTTGTTTTCCAAATAAATCCAAAATGTAGGGTTGTTAAGAATTAAAATCTAATCACATTCCCTTTGAGAGCACTTATTCTTACTCATGAGACAATTGTTAGGGCCAATGCATGCAATGGATGCCTTAATAAATAATATATTCTCTGGTTTAATGATAAATAATTGTCATTCAAAAGTCGCAAGAGAAGGCTGGAAAGCATCTCTTGCACCAATAATAAATGCTTTTTATGTCATAACTATTACAATGAATACCATTTTCGAAATTTAATACTCCCTCCATTTCTTATTATAAGAGACGAATAACCGAATTACGTTGATAAAAAAAACAGTTAAAATTAGTTAAAAACAATCAATGTGTAAAAAGTATAATTTTTTTTTTCAAAAATGCCCTCATTAATAAGGAGAGAGAACAATGGTAAATTATTAAAAGAAAGAGAGGTAGGAAGGAGAGAGAGTGTGAGTTGGAGACAATAAATATGGGTAAAATAGG